TTAATAACAAAATGCAGTCAGACATGATTACTGTAACCAATGTATTATTGGTTTATCCCAATGTTTGCACCGCTGAGACTCAAAGAGATTCAAATGTCACTATTCATAGTTTAAAAATTCATAAGCCAGTCTGGAGTTCAGCAAAGGTTACACCCTTAAATGCTGTTTTTTCATACCATACACCTCTGCACAGGGATTTGAACGAGGTAGGCTATGAACACAGCTTATTTTGGCTTTGTTGTAGTTTTCAGAGCTTAGTTAACAGATTTTATACAATTTGAAGTTAAAATATGGGACACAACTGCCCTGGCTGTTGGTTTGGTTTGTTGTCGGAGTATGTGCAATTAATATCTTTGTTTGTTGTTTCCTTTGGAGGTAACAGCGTATGAAACTTTTTGTGATATTGTGCAGTCTTTTATTAATCCTCCCTTCCTTTAGTTTGTGGCACATAAACTGATTCATTTCAGCTCAATCCTGCAATTTAAGAAACCAAGTTAAGTTCCATGTAAAGAACTTGTTACAGTGGATGGGAGACAGATGTTTCAGGGACTGCAAAAAAGTTCTTTGTCTATTGTGTTGTTTTTGACAAGTTGTTTTCGAACGGTTCTGCTTTACGGATGACATTTGCACATTCAGTCTGAACGTCGGCGCTCCTCGATGGAGACTGAGGACATGATGATGCAGGGAGAGACTGAGAAAAGTTCCTGTGAATTCGAGGAACTGGATTTGAATTGTGTCGCAGCGTGTGGAATGTAAAAGGTTTGCCTGGACTGAAACATTTGGACTTGGTCTCATCCGCTTCAGAAACACACTCAACTGAACTGAACCACTTAGTTTCACACAAACTCTGTGTGTAATAATCAACCACAGCCTTGAAGAGAAACTATCTACTCAACCACTGAGACTTGCTTCCATTCCTCCTGCCTTGTTTTCCCGTCCTCTTTGTTGTTATCCGGCCAATAGGACGGCAGATCCCGCATTGACCTCACTGCTAGATTTATTCTGCTTTAATTAAATGAGCTCTGTGATATTGATCAGTACCTTCCAGGCTGGAGTCAGTGGAAGTAATGCACGTACACAAGCCTCAGCTTCCCCATGAAAACAATGGGAAACGCTTAACATTTTCAGTTTAATGCACATGGATTATGTTGATCAAACACCCTGGAAAGCATCTTTAACTCAGATCTTAACTGGACTCTATATGTACTTTTGTGCAGAATGTTCCCTTTGATATCACACTGACATTACGCAAAGGCTTTGCATCCAGAAGTTTACTTGGTTTATTTACTCTGGTTAAGTTTGTGTTTTCAATTCCAAAAACTGCAGCAGTTCAGCTTGTTGTTGGGTGAGTAAATGTACTTTTGGGATCAGGATCCTGTGATCGTTTTACTGCAGATGTACAGTAGAATACTTAATGGTCCATGGAGTGAAAATGAGACAAAGCAGGTGTGAGTTTGTTTCTGCATTAAAGGGTTTGTGTACTAAGGAATGTGTGTGGGCAGCACTGGTGGCTGTCCTTGTGTCTAGAGATTTAAGCCTTTATATAGTATATATAGTATAAATATATAACCTTTATCTATTTTAATCCACACACTATTTTGTTGAGTACCGAGCACATCCATTTCTGTCTGTAGAGAGACTAAATACCATTTATTCATTCTTAAAGCTTTACTTGATTTTCTTCAACCTCGCTTGTTTTGGGAGAAGGAAAAGTGAGTAGTTATCACTGTCCTAAACAAAGGATAACTGAAAAAGATCTTATTCTTCAAGTCACATAATGAGAAGCATTAATAAACAATGTACAGTATTCGTACCCCTCTTGTAAAGTTACCCGAGAGATGAACCACTTTTGAAAAGAGGCTGAAGGATGACTTTTGAACGCACCATTAAAACCCAACATTGATCAACTGTATGGCCTACAGCGAATATTATTAATTTTCTCTCTCTCTCTCTCTCTCTCTCTTTCTCTCTCTCCATCTCTTTCCCCTGTTGTTTTCTCTCTGCATTGTTAATTGCCACTGAAGAGAAAAACAGAAGCTTCTAAGGCTTTCTATTAATATGTGTACAGTATGTCTCCTGGCCTGCCGCCATTTATTGTTGATCAAGTTAACCAATAGTAACAGAACAATAATAAATATATGTTTTTATATATACACTTTGTGCCACTGTGTTATTGCTGTTCATCCTACCCTTCAGCAGAGAATAGCTAGAATTTACAGTAACTGGACAAGTTTGCATTCAGACTGATTATATGGCATTTTTAAGTCATTTTTAAAACTGCTGAAGTATTTTATTATGTACTTGAGGATTAAGAGTAGTTTGTGCGGTGAAACCCTTTTGTTTCTAGTCCTTTTGGACCTGGGCTGATGCTATCACTGATTTCAGCAAAATAAGAACCATCCTCGAGGCTTGGGCTGATAATGAGCCTTTTAAATTATTTACGGTGACCGTACTAAAACTGGAAACATTCATCTTCTCAGTTTTATTTGAAACATCAGCCAAATCCCTGTGAATTTTTTCATCTCCAGAGAAACCTGCACTCTGAGTGTTTGAATTGGATCTCTTTTTTTTTTCTATGTAAATTTCAAGAACCTCTGATTCTTTGCTGGCATTATCTCAGAGGAGACCATGTATCTTACATCCCACACTGCTCTCAGAGTGAAGAGAATTATTTAGTTATTAATGTTAAAGTCTAATGTTTCTGGGAACATGGATCAGTGAAAGTTTTTCAGAATATAGGATTTGAATATTTAGGATTTAAAGATATAACTGATACTGATTAAGTTATAGTGCCCAACATTAACTCCAAAGTACATCATTTCTTCCCAGCTCACTATTGATCAGGGAAATTTTGGGGACTAGTATAAACAAAAATTAGGGTGTGTGCCTTTTCTAAATGATCATTTTGAAGATAAATTTGATTAAAAATCAGAGTAAGAGTAAATGACTTAAATGCTCTTTCACCTCTTATTAAAACACATTTCTTGTTCAGTGGATAAAAATGACAGTTTGGGCCAACTGAAACACTATGAATTTCACAACATTTGTAGTAGTCATACACAGACTCCGCAAAGGAGGTGTTTTGTACCTTGCTACGTTGGAACATGGAGTATTGCTGTGTCAACATCACTGCAGTAGCTCCGCCACCAGATGGAGACATTCAAGAGGTAAAGAAAACCAGAATTCACCCTTCTCCTGCTGTTAAGTCTCTTATAAACTGACTATTACAGGGATTTGACTTTCAGTGTTCAGTGTGGCTGAAAGCCATGAAAACATCCTGTATGAATTTAGTAGGACAAATGTGAAAGTGAAAATGTTCACAAGCATTACTCTAAACTGTCATTTAGCTTGAACTATAACAAGCTAAACCTGTCTAGACTGAGATTATACTCTTATCTAACATAACATGGTTTACTCACATGTCTCACTCATCTTTGCAACTGACAATGAGGAAAGAGGAAATTCTGTCCATCTACTCCAGTATTATACAATAAATAAAATTGCATTTGGATTATTAGGATGCTCTATTATTTTATTCACACAGTAATTCCTTCCAGATTTAGTGTTTCATGTTGCATGTGACACAAAATGATCAAGTAGAGTTTTCGTTCACAGGAAAGAGGTTTGTATCAGACTGCCCATGCAGTGGTGAAAGAACTATTCAGATCCTTGACATAAGTAAACGTACCAAAACCACAGTGAAAAGTATTATAAACAAAGTTAACTTAAAAAGGTCAATTCTGCAGGAAAAGTCTGTGTTTTACTACTATTATTATTATTATTATTATAGAGGATGTTTTTGGATAAATATTACTGATGCATTAATGTGTATGTTGTATTTTACTGCTGTATGGTTGTGCTAATTAGCTGCTTTATACACTGTTGGGTAGATTAATGTACAGGAACGCATCGTATTCTACAAGGTCATGTGTTTATAGCATCGTTGTCTTTTAAGAACCATTTATCTCTGACAAGTCAGCTTTTCATGAGCTTTATTTACCTTAAGTAGGAGAATTCTCTCAACCCATTAAGGAACATTTCATCTTTCCGTTTGTCAGGAAGAAAAAAATCTAATTCAAAATCACCAAATTTGGAGACACATGGTTTTCACTGGACAGGAAGGGTATGAATAACTGTAATCTGAAAAGGAATCAAAGCTATCAGACAAATGTAGTGGAGTAAAAAGTGCAATATTTGCTCCTTTCTGGAATTTGTACTTGAGGGGCAGAAATCTCTCAGTTTGGATCCTGAGTGATACACCAGTAGGTTTATTTCCTGCATTGTGAGTCATTACTTAATCAATAATGTTGTTGGATTAGGTCAAAGCAGGTCAAACTGGGGCTCTGGGAACTTACAGGAGATAAGAGCAGGTGGAGGATGACAGTAAACTGGAATCATTCCCAGTTACTTGTACAATTGCTCACCATTCAGCCAGACAACATTTTGACCGTTTTCCACCAACTAATCAAATATCATATCTGCAAAATTGCATTTTGCCAAGCAGTTTCAGATTGCAAAAACATAAAAATAGAAATATGTCCTGAAATGTTGAAGAGTGTAGCACCTCAAAATTCACTTTAGTTTGTTTTGACTTTGCACTGCATGGCAGTAGTTTGATTTACCTTTAGTTTGATTCCCTGGGAATAGCCACGGTGAGAGGATGAATAAAGAGTGTTTTGCTATCAGAGGTGTCATCACTGCACCCTGCCCAGACAGTTATGTAATTTCACACTGAATCATCCCTAACAGCTCAAATGATGATGATGATGATATTGAGTAGGAGGTTCATTCTTGGGAGAGAATTTGCCAATTTGGGGGTCGGGAGGGGTTTCTTGTGGGCGTCAGTTTGAGGAGAGATGATGAGGAAGGACTTTTGTGTTGAGTTGGGATGTCTCTGAAATATGCTCACATAAATACAAGGGGCTGGGAAATGCATTATGTTAATGACTGGTCCCCACAAAGATAGTGACACAACTGTGTGTGTGTGTGTGTGTGTGTGTGTGTGTGTGTGTGCGCGCGCGCATGTTTGTGTGTGTGCGTGCAGGTCCTCTACAGTGCTGCCGATGCTGCTGTGGTACCTTAGAGGAGGAGGCGGTGGTCGTGTTATTGAGCGGCCCGGCGTGGAAGTTTCGCTGCAGGGGTGGGACTTTGTTTCTGCAGTCGGTAGGTCTGGGGTGAGCTGCGGATCACACAGAAATGCCTCTGGCAGCAGCTTTCCAGACTCCAGCCAGCAGCAGCACAAAGAGACGGACACCTCAGAGTGGAAGATAAACCCTCCTCCTCCTTCATCATCCCTCTGCTCCTCTTCCTCCTCCAGCTGGCCACGTCTGACAGCTTTCGGATGCGCTGAAACGGGAGGAGTGTGAACGCCGTTTCCATCCCTCATCCATCCCCGGGACACACAGACCAGTCCGGCACCGGTGTCATTGGATGGAGAGAGGCGCCTGAAGAAGGGAGAGCGGTGGAGTTGGTCTACCCCCCTCCTCCTCTTCCTCCTCCTCCTCCTCCTTCCCTACTGCACCAAAAGAAAACTCCGGGTAAGAAATGCGTACTCACTAAGGCCATTTGGCCACAAGCCGCTGCGCTCCTGCACTCCTCTGTGTACAAAACGCAATAAATGCATAAACGCAACATGCATAATGGCGGGACTTGCATGGGTCTTTTTTCCTCTGCTTCATTGACAACAGTGAAGGGATTACTTTAAAGCGTGTGAGGCATTAGCTGCGCATATGAATGCATCCCAGCAGACGGGATGGCAGGCTTTTCTGGCACGGTATTTTCGCGGCTCCGCTCTTTTCTCTCAGTCGACCCAAATATTGATTCGCATTCCAAGTCGACCTTAACAAGAAGCAGGTTGTTGGCTGTGGCAGTGAAGTGATGCCTTCAGTGACTGCAGGGGTTGAAGGAGGGAAAACAAATGGCACCCTGAACAGCGTGAGCTGTCCATTCAGCACCACTCTGCTGAACTCCAACTGAAAACTGTCACCTTAAAAAAAACTTAGTGCAGGTTTGATGAGCAGCTTTAGGGATGTGGTGTAAGGCTGAAGTCAGATTCAGCCAGAATATTGTTTGCAGAGTAGAGTTTACTCAGATTTATTATGTTATGTCTTGAATATTGAGTAAAGCCATTGTAAGACTGGGTAAAACCTCCAGTGTTTAATCTGATCCCATCACAAACACTTGATCTGAGTAAGATCTTTGCCTAAATGAAATGTAGTACAAAATTAACAAGTTAAATCATGGAATATGTGATCAGATAATAATGAAGCATTCAGCGCCATCTTTTGTTACTTTTGAGTTCAGCCAGTGTTCAGAAAGTACTGAGTCCTGATTGTAAGTGCTGTTCAAATGAAACTTTGTGTTTGCTTGTGTGCCACATGATCTTCTAAATCAGGGGGTACGTTTTTCCCTTTGGGGGAATTTTATGAATTTATTTCGCAGTTGATGGTAGAGAAATGACAGGAGATGGGAAGTGACATGCAACAAAGACACCAGCCCTTGTCATATTAGGGGTGGTTGCAGTTTAATGTCCACATTTTAACCCTCTAGACCACCAGGTTGCCCTTAATTTTTGCTTTTTTTCATTATGAAATGTTGGATAGTTTTACCACTTCAGGCATCTAAAAAGTATCAAATGAAACATTCTGAGAAGATAACATTGCGCTTTGGTTAAATCAGACATTATGAAACCTGTGACAAGGAGTTGTGAATAGACAGGCTGGTGTGTCTCACTCACAATTGCTACATGCGCTTTAAATGTTGGCTTTTGACCCATGTTAATCCTATAACGTGATGCAGATAATGATGCCTGAAAATAATAATAATTGGTGTGTTTTGTTGATTAAATACTCCTTCCCAATCTGTCTTTGAGGCTGTCAGAGGTTTTAGATTTGTATGGACGTTTGGAGCTAACTGTGGTCCTATTTACTGTAACTAAAATTGACTGACTGTTCCTCTTTCTTTGCTTTTTGACATCCTGTTTCCTCCTGAAGCTGCCCATACTGATTTCTCTTTTTCTTTTTTTTTTTTTTACCTCTTTGCTTCCTTTTTGTGTTCTTAAAAAATAAAAGGTGTGAATAGCTGGATAGATTTTTTGTGTGAATTAACAGTTAAAATATGTGTAGGAGTAGACTTTCTGTCTCTCAAAGCAATGTGATTTTGAAATGATGATGCACATTGAGGATCCAAAAAAGGGGAAAGTTCACATGAAAAACAACCTGACTGTGCTTTAGAGATTTCAAACTCAAACGCCAGGGGGAAATAATTCAATCTTGTTAACATAACTTGTTAACTCTGATCTCTCCGGTTCTTCGGGTGTGTTCCCCGCAGCTTTCTAATGATGCCGGATATCTGTGTGAAATGGCTCAGCTTGGAGGTGAAATAGCTGTGTGTATGTGTGCGTGTATGTATGTGTGGGTGTGTTTTTGTGTCACTGGGACTCCCACCTCCCCCTCGCCGGGCTGAAATACGACCTGCTCAGGATTCAATTCCTCCACCAGCACTTGCAATCATCTCAGTCATTCGTTTAACATCTACTCTCTTTCTTGCTCTCTGTCATGGGCATCCCCTGCATTTACACACACACACACTCTCACAACCCTAACACACCAAATTCCCCCTGCTGTCTCGCCGTTGAACTCCTCAGATGAAGAGTCTTATTACATTAAGAAAACTGAGAGCACTTAGATGAACACTGGAGACATGTGACACTGTGAGTCTACACTTAAAGGCCCTCTGCCATTATCAAAATGGTCTTTCCTAAGATCGAGCCTTAAAGTATCACATCTAATTTTTCCAGACTAAATCATCTAATGGATTGCCTCATTTCTTGTTGAATGCCTGTGGTCGGAGGCCTCTTCTTGGAGATGCCTCGAAATGCAGCAGAAAGAGAGAATCGTAGAAGAAAGTGTCACAAGATGAATCACACTGATGAGATTAAGACTTCTTGACATTATCAGGCATCAAACAGTATTGACAACATATAAAACTGGTTGCTTCATTGAATGTTATCTTAAAGCAACATTTTGACATTTTGGGTCTGACAGAGAGTTTGACAAGAAGATTGATATCACCCTCACGTCTGTACTGGAAATATGTAGCTAGATCTGGTTAGCTTAGCATACGCATGGGGGGGAAAAGGGAAACAGCTAGCCTGGCTCTGTCCAAAGGTCACAAAAAAGCTCAGTAATTAACAAGTTATATTGTGTTTGTTTAATATGTGCAAAAAACTATTTACCATTGTTATTTGCCAGACTATTTCTGGGCTGGCAGCAGTTACCAGTGGCTTAATTTTAGAGCTTGAGAGGTGCTGGTCAGGCTTGCTGTTTCCACTCTTTATGCTAAACTAGGGTATGCTAACCGGCTGCTGAGTCTGGCTACATACTTACCATACGGACGTGACAGCTTACCATATCATCTAACTCTCAGCAAGAAAGTGAAGAAGCGTATTTCTCTATATGTCAAACTTTTCTTTGGACCTGTTCTAGTTTTCCACAACTCGTTTCAAGTTTTTAGCCGTTCATGTCACATGGATGAAAATACATTGAAATGACCGTCAAACTGAAATTAATATATACATATATATCTGCAACAAAGCCAATATGCAGAGTGGGGGCATAAAAAACGTGTTACTGTCCAAATACCTGTATCTGACTGCAGTTAATCAGTGAAGCTCTGGCTTGGCTTCAAACCACTGCTCTTCCCCACTTTGGAGAATTTGGAGAAGGCTTTCACATTAGTGAGAGTGAATGAACCTTTTTCCAAAACATTAAATCGAGTCTGACAGACATTTTTGCAGCACTAAGTGCTTTCCCCGTCCTGTATTAGCCTAATTGTGTGGTTGTTAATCTAATAAGTAGTAGGTATAATGAGTTAGCGGGGTGGGAAGCAGTGATCACGTCTGATTTAGCTTTTTGGTGTTAACTTCAGGGCTCCAGAGTGAGACTTCAAGATTACAAAAGTGGGAAAAGGTTGATGCAGGTGTGCAAATAAATGGGAGCATCTTATTTAATTACCTAGACTGTGGGTGTATTGGCACACATCCACATGTGAGACCATGATCAAGCTGATTCTGGAAAATAATGTGCTGTGATCATTTATTGGCATAAAATAGTCCAACACGACCAAACGAGTTTAGTTTTGATTGTGTTTCTAGAGTTTTATTCCCTCTGTATATTATCATTCTCGACATTCTGTTGATAATGTGGTTTAGAGCGGGTTTTTCTCGTAAGCTCATCACAAACTGCACATAGATGATTCTGGCAAGACAGAGAGAAAATATTTAACCTCCAGAATTCTGGAGACAAATCAAGTTTAAGTAGCTCTCCACTGAATAATCAAACTAGACAGAGTGCAAACACTTCCCTGCTTGCTGTTATACTCAAAGCCACCTTTCTCATTCACTCCATTTTGAGTGAAAATGGCTTGCAAACATCATCTTTAACAAAGCAGAGTCGAGTCTTAATGTAGTCAGGATCGACTGAAACTGGTCATAAAATGAAGATTAAAGATGTTTTGGTTCTCATCCATAATCCCCATCAAAATCTGATCTTTTGTTTGTTAATCCTAAATACAGCCTCACAGAGCTGCTAGCCTGGTCTGTAAGCTGTTAGGGTGCCTTCCAGTACCCATACTGCCATACTGTTTAGTGTGCCAGAAAAGGAAATACATGGTCTTCCTGCCTCAGCTAGCACCACCGCTGACATTTCAAAGACGGCACCAGTCAGTATGATGCGACTTTTATTTAACCATCCACCAAATGAGCTGTCTAAACCAGAAAGTCCAAGTGTAGCTGGCATGGAAACAAGCAGATATGTGAGGAGCTAGGACACAAAGAGAGATACACAAACTGCTTTGCTGCCTTGTCCGTGCTAAGATTGCTGTGCAATGCTATATCTGGACATATCACTGAGCGCGGCAGCAAGGCAGTTAATTTGATTATGAGTCATTGGGGGAGATTAAAAGCAAAGTTGATTGATCAGTTGTTTGGAGAGCGAGCAAGAAAGTCAGAGGAGAGCAGCTGACAGGCCTCTGATTCCCCACCCCTTGTTCTTTCTTCCCAGCTGCTCTCTGTTTCATATTTTCTTTTTGAAAATAGACACTCATGTTTTCTTTAGTCTTCTGTATTATGTCTTACTATCATCTGATCTTTGTCTTGTTTATCTCCTTATCTAACCTCTCCTCTGTTCTTTCCCCTTTATTTGTGTATATTTGTATATGTGTGTATATGTGTGTGTGTGTGTGTGTGTGTGTGTGTGTGTGTGTGTGGACATAAATCACTGTGTCTGTTCTTATTGATCAGACCTGTTTTAATATGCAGCTCCAACAGAGGGAATTTCTTGTTTTCTTCCTGGCTATAGCAGCAGCCTATATTTACATCCAGTGTGCCGAATCTGCTGCTGAGACACATAGGAGGCTGCTGGGATTGTGTTTGTTTCCTCCTATAGTCAAGTTAGTTTTTTGTTTTGACAGGCACCAGACCACAGAGAAACCAAAGCAACAAAGAAGCATTTCACACTCAAAAACATGGGCAGACATG